GAGGGTTTTAAATAATACTTAAATGAGGAGAGAGAGTAAACTAATATTAAATGATGAGTCAGAGGAGAGGAGAGAAGAAAACAAACAAAATTTGGACACCATAAAAACGTTAAAAGCTTTGATGCTTTTGATTAAATGACAGCTGATCAATAAAGAATATTCGCCTTAGCCCATTCCCTATGGCTGCAATAGTGTCAACATATACATATATTTCATATCTTGACACAATTCGGAAATACTTTCAATGTTCTACATTTCTTTGTTGAAGCCTTTTTTTAAAGAGCTTCGAAAACCTCACCCCTCTTACGCTGAAGGGATTGCAGTATAAACCAAATCACGGACCCTCCTTTACATTTATATCCATTAAAAAATAAGGGTGATCTTCTCTCTCTCTCTTTCTCTCTGACCCATTTAGTTAGTTAGTAGTTAGTTAGTTATTTAGTCAGTCAGTTAGTTAGTTTAGTTAGTTAGTTAGTTAGTTAGTTAGTAGTTAGTTAGTTAGTTAGTTAGTTAGTTTAGTTAGTTAGTAGTTAGTTAGTTAGTAGTAGTTAGTTAGTTAGTTAGTTAGTAGTTAGTTAGTAGTAGTAGTTAGTTAGTTAGTTAGTTAGTAGTTAGTTAGTAGTTAGTTAGTTGTTAGTTAGTTAGTAGTTAGTTAGTAGTTAGTTAGTTAGTTAGTTAGTTAGTTAGTTAGTTAGTTAGTTAGTTAGTTAGTTAGTAGTTAGTTAGGTTAGTTAGTTAGTTAGTTAGTTTAGTTAGTTAGTTAGTTAGTAGTTAGTTAGTTAGTTAGTAGTTAGTTAGTTAGTAGTTAGTTAGTTAGTTAGTTGAGTTAGTTAGTTAGTTAGTTAGTTAGTTAGTTAGTAGTTAGTTAGTTAGTTAGTAGTTAGTTAGTAGTTAGTTAGTAGTTAGTTAAGTTAGTTAGTTAGTTAGTAGTTAGTTAGTTAGTTAGTTAGTTAGTTAGTTAGTTAGTTAGTTAGTAGTAGTTAGTTAGTTAGTTAGTTAGTTAGTTAGTTAGTTAGTAGTTAGTTAGTTAGTTAGTTAGTTGTTAGTTAGTGTAGTTAGTTAGTTAGTTAGTTAGTTAGTTAGTTAGTTAGTTAGTTAGTTAGTTAGTTAGTTAGTTAGTTAGTTAGTAGTTAGTTAGTTAGTTAGTTAGTTAGTTAGTTAGTAGTTAGTTAGTTAGTTAGTTAGTTAGTTAGTTAGTTAGTTAGTAGTTAGTTAGTTAGTAGTTAGTTAGTTAGTTAGTTAGTTAGTTAGTAGTTAGTTAGTTAGTTAGTTAGTTAGTTAGTTAGTTAGTTAGTTAGTTAGTTAGTTAGTTAGTTAGTTAGTAGTTAGTTAGTTAGTTAGTTAGTTAGTTAGTTAGTTAGTTAGTTAGTTAGTTAGTTAGTTAGTTAGTTAGTTAGTTAGTTAGTTAGTTAGTTAGTTAGTTAGTTAGTTAGTTAGTTAGTTAGTTAGTTAGTTAGTTAGTTAGTTAGTTAGTTAGTTAGTTAGTTAGTTAGTTAGTTAGTTAGTTAGTTAGTTAGTAGTTAGTTAGTTAGTTAGTTAGTTAGTTAGTTAGTTAGTTAGTTAGTTAGTTAGTTAGTTAGTTAGTTAGTTAGTTAGTTAGTTAGTTTAGTTAGTTAGTTAGTTAGTTAGTTAGTTAGTTAGTTAGTTAGTTAGTTAGTTAGTAGTTAGTTAGTAGTTAGTTAGTTAGTTAGTTAGTTAGTTAGTAGTTAGTTAGTTAGTAGTTAGTTAGTTAGTTAGTTAGTTAGTTAGTTAGTTAGTAGTAGTTAGTTAGTTAGTTAGTAGTTAGTTAGTTAGTTAGTTAGTTAGTTAGTTAGTTAGTTAGTAGTTAGTTAGTTAGTTAGTTAGTTAGTTAGTAGTTAGTTAGTTAGTTAGTTAGTTAGTAGTTAGTTAGTTAGTTAGTTAGTTAGTTAGTAGTAGTTAGTTAGTTAGTAGTAGTTAGTTAGTTAGTTAGTAGTAGTTTAGTTAGTTAGTTAGTTAGTTAGTTAGTAGTTAGTTAGTTAGTTAGTTAGTAGTTAGTTAGTTAGTTAGTTAGTTAGTTAGTTAGTTAGTAGTTAGTTAGTTAGTTAGTTAGTTAGTTAGTTAGTTAGTTAGTTAGTTAGTTAGTTAGTTAGTTAGTTAGTTAGTTAGTTAGTTAGTTAGTTAGTTAGTTAGTTAGTTAGTTAGTAGTTAGTAGTTAGTTAGTTAGTTAGTTAGTTAGTTAGTTAGTTAGTAGTTAGTTAGTTAGTTAGTTAGTTAGTTAGTTAGTTAGTTAGTTAGTTAGTTAGTTAGTTAGTTAGTTAGTTAGTTAGTTAGTAGTTAGTTAGTTAGTTAGTTAGTAGTTAGTAGTTAGTAGTTAGTTAGTTAGTTAGTTAGTTAGTAGTAGTTAGTTAGTTAGTTAGTAGTTAGTTTCTTCTTCCAACTACTACAGAACCCAATTAAAATGACAATAACAACATTATCTTTTCCGGTAACTTGAATACAATACCCTACACTCCTCTTGTACTCTCTTTCATTTATCACTTGACCTAGACCCAAATTACAAATAATTTTCGTTTAAAGTTTTTATCTCTTTTTATTATCTAATTGTTTGTTAAAAACTGCTACGTATTTCATTTTCAAACGATTTCCAAAAAAGTAATTTTCTCAACCGTTACTTTATAACAGCAATGTAGATCCAATGACCAATTAATTAAGGATTTATATACATTTAATTGAATACATACTTTGATCCAAAATTTCACGTAATAATGTAATGCTAAATTGCGTTAATGAAACACCATAACTTTTTTTTACAAAAATTTCAGATACATATCTAATTTGTTTACTTCTTTCTTTCAGATCACCGCCATTTTATTGGTTATGGTTGGTTCAACCATTCAGGCAATATTTGGTGATTTTCGACAATTCGTAGACGATCATTTCCTTTCGCCACCAGCTCTTCTAATAGCTATTGGTTTCATTTTGATTTTTGTAGCCACATTGGGGGCTTATGGTGCCATCAAGGAGAGTGTAATGCTTATTAATTTGGTAGGTGCCATAACAATTCCACATTAGCAATTTCCAAAAAGTCTTAAAACTTCTTTACTATTTTCCCTTAGTATGGTGTTTGTTTGTTTTGGTCTTTATTTTGGAAGTCTCCGCCTCTATTGCTGCCTTCGTTATGCAAGGACAAGTACGTGAAATGTTAGTGCGCACCCTTAATCAATCTATGGCCGATTATGAGAATAATGATTATATTCGGACTGGTGTGGATTTCATGCAAAGTGGTTTAGAGTGCTGCGGTGTTGATGGTCCCAAGGATTGGGCTAAATATATGAATCAGACCAGCAATAATGTGGAGGATGAAGTTTCGGTACCTTATTCCTGCTGCGGTCGCTTCAATATGCAAGATAGTACCAAGTGTGATTTACAATACGAGAATGGTTGTTTTGGTCGCATGGATTTCATTATTTCTCAAAGTACCATGTTGATCGCTACGGGTGCTACGACTGTGGCTTTTGTACAGGTGAGTGGGAATTCATGCAATTTCAGGGAACTCGGGAAAATATCCTCGACGAAATAGAAATAGAATAGACTAAACTATAGACTAGGCTATCGACTAGACTATAGACTCGACTATAGACTAGACTATAGACTAGACTTTAGACTAGACTATAGACTAGACTATAGACTAGACTATAGACTAGACTATAGACTAGACTATACACTAGACTATAGACTAGACTATAGACTAGACTATAGACTAAACTATAGACTAGACTATAGACTAGACTATAGACTAGACTATAGACTAGACTATAGACTAGACTATAGACTAGGACTATAGACTAGACTATAGACTAGACTATAGACTAGACTATAGACTAGACTATAGACTAGACTATAGACTAGACTATAGACTAGACTATAGACTAGACTATAGACTACACTATAGACTAGACTATAGACTAGACTATAGACTAGACTATAGACTAGACTATAGACTAGACTAGACTATAGACTAGACTATAGACTAGACTATAGACTAGACTATAGACTAGACTATAGACTAGACTATAGACTAGACTATAGACTAGACTATAAGACTAGACTATAGACTAGACTATAGACTAGACTATAGACTAGACTATAGACTAGACTATAGACTAGACTATAGACTAAACTATAGACTAGACTATAGACTAGACTATAGACTAGACTATAGACTAGACTATACTATAGACTAGACTATAGACTAGACTATAGACTAGACTATAGACTAGACTATAGACTAGACTATAGACTAGTATAGACTAGACTATAGACTAGACTATAGACTAGACTATAGACTAGACTATAGACTAGACTATAGACTAGACTATAGACTAGACTATAGACTAGACTATAGACTAGACTATAGACTAGACTATAGACTAGACTATAGACTAGACTATAGACTAGACTATAGACTAGGCTATAGACTAGACTATAGACTAGACTATAGACTAGACTATAGACTAGACTATAGACTATAGACTAGGCTATAGACTAGACTATAGACTAGACTATAGACTAGAGTATAGACTAGACTATAGACTAGACTATAGACTAGACTATAGACTAGACTATAGACTAGACTATAGACTAGACTATAGACTAGACTATAGACTAGACTATAGACTAGACTATAGACTAGACTATAGACTAGACTAAAGACTAGACTATAGACTAGGCTATAGACTAGACTATAGACTAGACTATAGACTAGACTATAGACTAGACTATAGACTAGACTATAGACTAGACTATAGACTAGACTATAGACTAGACTATAGACTAGACTATAGACTAGACTATAGACTAGACTATAGACTAGACTATAGACTAGACTATAGACTAGACTATAGACTAGACTATAGACTAGACTATAGACTAGACTATAGACTAGACTTATAGACTAGACTATAGACTAGACTATAGACTAGACTATAGACTAGACTATAGACTAGACTATAGACTAGACTATAGACTAGACTATAGACTAGACTATAGACTAGACTATAGACTAGACTATAGACTAGACTATAGACTAGACTATAGACTAGACTATAGACTAGACTATAGAGTAGACTATAGACTAGACTATAGACTAGACTAGACATAGACTAGACTATAGACTAGACTATAGACTAGACTATAGACTAGACTATAGACTAAACTAGACTATAGACTAGACTATAGACTAGACTATAAACTAGACTACAGACTAGACTATGGACTAGACTACAGACTAGACTATGGACTAGACTATAGACTAGACTATAGACTAGACTATAGACTAGACTATAGACTAGACTAGACTATAGATTAGACTATAGACTAGACTATAGATTAGACTATAGATTCGACTATAGACTAGACTATAGATTAGACTATAGACTAGACTATAGATTAGACTATAGACTAGACTAAACTGTATTTAAAATAATTTTTTTAATTTCATTCTCTCTTTCTGTCTTTCAGCTTTTGGGTGCCATTTGCGCCTTCATGCTGGCCAAGACCTTGAGACGTAACAAGTCCATACGCGAAGCTCGTCGCTGGCAATTGCAACAAAGTTTGGGTGTTTTAATATCCGGTGGTAAGATGGCTCCACCCATGAACTCTCCCATGAGCGGTTATACCCAATTGGAGAAATCGGAGAAATTCTTGGAAAATGATCCTATGACCTATACACCCAACAGTCCCAGTGTTATAAATTAAAAAAAAAAAAAACTTAAATCACAATTTCAAATCAAATTTCAATATTTTAATTTTTAATAATTATTTTTAAAATAATATTTTAACAATAAATTGTATTATAAACATTAATTAATTAATTTTAAAAAGTATTTGGTGTAAATAAAAACACAAAAAAAATCGGAAGGTTAGCAAAAATTTAAGAATGTCTAGCCTTTAACAAACAATCATTCTAATTTCTTTAAACCACTAATAAATTCACCCAATAATTTCAATTGTTCGGTTACCGAAATTGTGGCAGTACCACCAATAACATCATACTGTTCCACATTACTAGAATAATCGGCAACCTTGGCTATATCCACATCGAAATGGGGACAAATTTGTTGTAAATCTTCTAAAGGTATTTCGGTTATTTCCAAAGACATGCGTTCAGCATGGGCCACCACTGCGCCGATATAATGATGCGCCTTGCGGAAGGGCACGCCCTTGCGTACTAGATAATAAGCCTGCGAAATAGAAATAACATTAAATTAATTACTTTTTAAGTTCGTTTTATAACTACAACTCACCCAATCGGTAGCCAACATATCTGAACTCAAGGCCATTTCCATTTTTTGCATTTTTATCTTCATACTCTTTACTACACCCTCCGTTACCGCTAAAGCCAATTGTAATTTATCAAAAGCCTCAAAACAATATTGTTTATCAAATTGCAAATCCTTATTATAAGTTGAAGGTGTTCCCTTTATGGTCATCATGGCTCCCGTTAACGTGGCACAGAGATTGGCCGATAAGCCTCTTACCAGTTCTAAACTGTCGGGATTACGTTTCTGAGGCATTAAACTACTGCCGGTGGAAAAATCATCGGAAATTTGTATGAAATCAAATTCTTTGGTAGCATAGATAATTAAGTCCTCGGCTAGACGTGATAAGTGAAGACCCACCATGGAGCAACTGTAAATGAAGTCGACTAGAAAAGAAGAAGAATTAATTAATATTTATATAAGCACTAAGTGAAAAATAAAAGGGAGATTTTGACTTCCGTTGTTGATCGCTTAACAGAACATTGAAGGAAATAGCTTATATTCAGATTAAGTCCAAAAAACTACGTCAGAATCTGTAATATATTAGGTACAGGAAATAACTCCGATTCTAAACTATATACCGTCTATTAAATAGCTCAGATTGTTAACATTATTCCGCCTATTAAATAGCTCAGATTCTGAGCTATAGTCCAGATTATACTATATTCCTTCTATAGACTAGACTATAGACTAGCCTATAGACTAGACTATAGACTAGACTATAGACTAGACTATAGACTAGACTATAGACCAGACTATAGACTAGCCTATAGACTAGACTATAGACTAGACTATAGACTAGCCTATAGACTAGACTATAGACTAGACTATAGACTAGACTATAGACTAGCCTATAGACTAGACTATAGACTAGACTATAGACTAGACTATAGACTAGACTATAGACTAGACTAGACTATAGACTAGGCTATAGACTAGACTATAAACTAGACTATAGACTAGACTATAAACTAGACTATAACTAGACTATAGACTAGACTATAGACTAGACTATAGACTAGACTATAGACTAGACTATAGACCAGACTATAGACTAGACTATAGACTAGACTATAGACTAGACTATAGACTAGACTATAGACTAGACTATAGACTACACTATAGACTACACTATAAACTGACTATAGACTAGACTATATACTAGACTATAGACTAGACTATAGACTAGACTATAGACTAAGACTAGACTATAGACTAGACTATAGACTAGACTATAGACTAGACTATAGACTAGACTATAGACTAGACTATAGACTAGACTATAGACTAGACTATAGACTAGACTATAGACTAGACTATAGACTAGACTATAGACTAGACTATAGACTAGACTATAGACTAGACTATAGACTAGACTATAGACTAGACTATAGACTAGACTATAGACTAGACTATAGACTAGACTATAGACTAGACTATAGACTAGACTATAGACTAGACTATAGACTAGACTATAGACTAGACTATAGACTATAGACTAGACTATAGACTAGACTATAGACTAGACTATAGACTAGACTATAGACTAGACTATAGACTAGACTATAGACTAGACTATAGACTAGACTATAGACTAGACTATAGACTAGACTATAGACTAGACTATAGACTAGACTATAGACTAGACTATAGACTAGACTATAGACTAGACTATAGACTAGACTATAGACTAGGACTATAGACTAGACTATAGACTAGACTATAGACTAGACTATAGACTAGACTATAGACTAGACTATAGACTAGACTATAGACTAGACTATAGACTAGACTATAGACTAGACTATAGACTAGACTATAGACTAGACTATAGACTAGACTATAGACTAGACTATAGACTAGACTATAGACTAGACTATAGACTAGACTATAGACTAGACTATAGACTAGACTATAGACTAGACTATAGACTAGACTATAGACTAGACTATAGACTAGACTATAGACTAGACTATAGACTAGACTATAGACTAGACTATAGACTAGACTAGACTTAGACTAGACTATAGACTAGACCTAGAGACTAGACTATAGACTAGACTATAGACTAGACTATAGACTAGACTATAGACTAGACTATAGACTAGACTATAGACTAGACTATAGACTAGACTATAGACTAGACTATAGCTAGACTATAGACTAGACTATAGACTAGACTATAGACTAGACTATATACTAGACTATAGACTAGACTAAGACTAGACTATAGACTAGAACTATAGACTAGACTATAGACTAGACTATAGACTAGACTATAGACTAGACTAGACTATACTATAGACTAGACTATAGACTAGACTATAGACTACACTATGGACTAGACTATAGACTAGACTATAGACTAGACTATAGACTAGACTATAGACTAGACTATAGACTACACTATAGACTACACTATAGACTAGACTATAGACTAGACTATAGACTACACTATAGACTAGACTATAGACTACACTATAACTAGACTATAGACTAGACTATAGACTAGACTATAGACTAGACTATAGACTAGACTATAGACTACACTATAGACTAGACTATAGACTAGACTATAGACTAGACTATAGACTACACTATAGACTAGACTATAGACTACACTATAGACTACACTATAGACTAGACTATAGACTAGACTATAGACTAGACTATAGACTAGACTATAGACTAGACTATAGACTAGACTATAGACTAGACTATAGACTAGACTATAGACTAGACTATAGACTAGACTATAGACTAGACTATAGACTAGACTATAGACTAGACTATAGACTAGACTATAGACTAGACTATAGACTAGACTATAGACTAGACTATAGACTAGCCTATAGACTAGACTATAGACTAGACTATAGACTAGACTATAGACTAGACTATAGACTAGACTATAGACTAGACTATAGACTAGACTATAGACTAGACTATAGACTAGACTATAGACTAGACTATAGACTAGACTATAGACTAGACTATAGACTAGACTATAGACTAGACTATAGACTAGACTATAGACTAGACTAGACTAGACTATAGACTAGACTAGACTAGACTAGACTAGACTAGACTAGACTATAGACTAGACTAGACTATAGACTAGACTAGACTATAGACTAGACTATAGACTAGACTATAGACTAGACTAGACTATAGGACTAGACTAGACTAGACTATAGACTAGACTAGACTAGACTATAGACTAGACTAGACTATAGACTAGACTAGACTATAGACTAGACTATAGACTAGACTATAGACTAACTATAGACTAGACTATAGACTAGACTATAGACTAGACTATAGACTAGACTATAGACTAGACTATAGACTAGACTATAGACTTGACTATAGACCTAGACTATAGACTAGACTATAGACTAGACTATAGACTAGACTATAGACTAGACTATAACTGGACTATAGACTAGACTATAGACTAGACTATAGACTAGACTATAGACTAGACTATAGACTAGACTAGACTATAGACTAGACTATAGACTAGACTATAGACTAGACTATAGACTAGACTATAGACTAGACTATAGACTAGACTATAGACTAGACTATAGACTAGACTATAGACTAGACTACTACTTATGGACTACATCTTATGATATAATGCAAAAATATTGATTTTAATCGAAATTTTTAAAATGATCTTATTTTAAACTTAGTTTTTCTAAAGTTTTTAGCGTTTTTTTTTAATTAAAAATATTACAGATGTTTTATTCTGAGGATCATTTCAAAAGTTTCCATTAAAAAAAAACTTTTATCATACCTATAAAATTTAGATAATAAATTTTAAGATCTATTTAAGCATAAACATAAATTTTGAAAGAAACTCTAATCTTAGACAAAATTTTTAATATTTTTATAGCACTGCCAGCATAAACTAAACAGCTCACCCTGAGAAAATCATTATTAAAAAAAATTTTAAAAGCTTATTTAAGTTTACAAACAATTTAGACAAAAAAAATGTACTTGAAACATTTCTTATCAATCATCTGTCTCGAAATAGAAAAACTAAATGTTTGTGAAGAAAAAAAAATTTTCCTATTACAGAGATAACACCTTGAACTTGAACTCTCTCACTCAATCACTTACTCACCAACAAAATCACGATCGCCCACAGCATGCATGCTGTTGGCAGTAACAGCAGCAAATCCTAAACGTTCAGCCAACCAAACACGATCGATTTGTAAGGGATTACCGGCTAAAGCACCACTGCCCAAGGGTAAAACATTAGAACGACTGCGTACATCACAGAATCTTAGACAATCCTCACGCAAGGCAAAAGCATGCGACAGAAGCCAATGGGAAAATTGTACAGTTTGGGCGCGTTGCATGTGGGTATAGCCGGGCATTAGAACACCCAAATGTTGTTGGGCCTGTTGGGTCATACTCTCCATTAGCTTGCGCATACTAGAACAGGTTTCACGTATGGCTTTGCGCAACCATAGCTTCATATCGGTTATGACTTGATCATTACGACTGCGGCCGGTATGCAAACGTTGACCCACCTCACCCACCAGCTCAGTTAAACGTCTCTCATTGACCGTATGCACATCCTCATCGGAGGGTAAGAATTTCATAAGACCCTCAATCCAATCATAGCGCACCAACTCCAGACCCGTTAAAATCTTTTCACATTCTTCGGCTGTCAAATAACCCGCCTTTTTCAAAGCTTCGGCATAGGCTTTACTGCCATCAATATCATCGGCAAAGAGTCTCGAATCCACTGGCAAACTGCAGTTGAGCGTGGCTAGACATTCATTAGTTTTGCCGGCATTTTTACCAAAACGTCCGCCCCACAATTGTTGTGTCATTGTGGAATTTTTATTTCAATATTTATTATTTTTATTTAAATTTTAAAATCAATTGTTGAGAGTTTTTTTTTTTTTTTTGATGCTGCTTGTTAGGAACTTTTGATTTAAAGGTCTTTACTTATTCAGATTAAAATCACAACTGTTATTATCTCGCGTGTAGTTTCTAATTTGCTGTAAAATTATATTATAATATAATTTTATTTGATGTTCGTTATCTATTAAATAAGTTTCAGTTTTATTATTATTATTTTTTTTTTTATTTTAGCTCATTTTTTCTAAAATAAATAAAGGCAAAGTGATGTGTTTAATTCTGGGAACTAAACGTTAAACATTTTTAATTTGATTAATTAATTATTGAAAACAAAAATCTATAGCTTTTTGGAAATTTTTAAAAAATTATTAATTAACTTGACAGTTAGTGCAAAGGTTACACATGAGAGGGTGAAAATAATGACAGCTTTGTGTTTAGTTTAAAAAAAAATGGCTGCTTATTCTAAACTTAATACTACTTTAACTAAACCTTCAACTAACCAAACTTTCAGCACTTAAGTTTTTGAGTTAATTTCAATGTTTTTATGAACCCTTCACAGATTTTCTTAAAGTTCTTTTAGAAATTTCAATTGTCTAACAGTAATTTGACTTTTTCGTTAACACTACGATGCTACACTTAAGAATAGTCTATACCTACATTTTTGCTAATATTATCAACTTATTATTTATTTACTTTAATAATTTAGTACCAAAACATCACGACAAGTATTATGACGAATATTAATACTCAAGAATTTCATTATTAACACTTTAAAAAGAGTAAAAAAATTGCTCTCCAAAAAATAATACTTAAGCGTGAAGTAGTTGCTCTTTGCTGTTGTTTATAAAAGGGTTTGCAAATTCCCGGACTTGAAAATATTTTACTTACGCCTTTTGTAAGGGACTAGGAGTGACTTGAAATAAATGTTCTTCTTCTGCAGAAGTGTTTTTAGAACAGAAATCAGACTTTTCTTTGAGAAAGTTTCTATACAAAGTTTCATCTAGAGAAGTTAGGTAATAAGTTAGTTAGTTAGTTAGTTAGTTAGTTAGTTAGTTAGTTAGTTAGTTAGTTAGTTAGTTAGTTAGTAAGTTAGTTAGTTAGTTAGTTAGTTAGTTAGTTAGTTAGTTAGTTAGTTAGTTAGTTAGTTGTTAGTTAGTTATAGTTAGTTAGTTAGTTAGTTAGTTAGTTAGTAGTTAGTTAGTTAGTTAGTTAGTTAGTAGTTGTTAGTTAGTTAGTAGTTAGTAGTAGTTAGTAGTAGTTAGTAGTTCGTTAGTTTAGTTAGTTAGTTAGTTAGTTAGTTAGTTGTAGTAGTTAGTAGTTAGTTAGTTAGTTTAGTTAGTTAGTTAGTTAGTTAGTTAGTTAGTAGTTAGTTAGTAGTTAGTTAGTTAGTTAGTAGTTAGTTAGTTAGTTAGTTAGTTAGTTAGTTAGTTAGTTAGTTAGTTAGTTAGTTAGTAGTTAGTTTGTTTGTTTGTTAGTAGTTTGTTAGTTAGTTAGTTAGTTAGTTAGTTAGTTAGGTTAGTTAGTTAGTTAGTTAGTTAGTTAGTTAGTTAGTTAGTTAGTTAGTTAGTTAGTAGTTAGTTAGTTAGTTAGTTAGTTAGTTAGTTAGTTAGTTAGTTAGTTAGTTAGTTGTAGTTAGTCGTTAGTTAGTTAGTTAGTTAGTTAGTTAGTTAGTTAGTTAGTTAGTTAGTTAGTTAGTTAGTTAGTAGTTAGTTAGTTAGTTAGTTAGTTAGTTAGTTAGTTAGTTAGTTAGTTAGTTAGTTAGTTAGTAGTTAGTTAGTTAGTTAGTTAGTTAGTTAGTTAGTTAGTTAGTTAGTTAGTTAGTTAGTTAGTTAGTTAGTTAGTTAGTTAGTTAGTTAGTTAGTTAGTTAGTTAGTTAGTTAGTTAGTTAGTTAGTTAGTTAGTTAGTTAGTTAGTTAGTTAGTTAGTTAGTTAGTTAGTTAGTTAGTTAGTTAGTTAGTTAGTTAGTTAGTTAGTTAGTTAGTTAGTTAGTTAGTTAGTTAGTAGTTAGTTAGTTAGTTAGTTAGTTAGTTAGTTAGTTAGTTAGTTAGTTAGTTAGTTAGTTAGTTAGTTAGTTAGTTAGTTAGTTAGTTAGTTAGTTAGTTAGTTAGTTAGTTAGTTAGTTAGTTAGTTAGTTAGTTAGTTAGTTAGTTAGTTAGTTAGTTAGTTAGTTAGTAGTTAGTTAGTAGTTAGTTAGTTAGTTAGTTAGTTAGTTAGTTAGTTAGTTAGTTAGTTAGTTAGTTAGTTAGTTAGTTAGTTAGTTAGTTAGTTAGTTAGTTAGTTAGTTAGTTAGTTAGTTAGTTAGTTAGTTAGTTAGTTAGTTAGTTAGTTAGTTAGTTAGTTAGTTAGTTAGTTAGTTAGTTAGTTAGTTAGTTAGTTAGTTAGTTAGTTAGTTAGTTAGTTAGTTAGTTAGTTAGTTAGTTAGTTAGTTAGTTAGTTAGTAGTTAGTTAGTTAGTTAGTTAGTTAGTTAGTTAGTTAGTTAGTTAGTTAGTTAGTTAGTTAGTTAGTTAGTTAGTAGTTAGTTAGTTAGTTAGTTAGTTAGTTAGTTAGTTAGTTAGTTAGTTAGTTAGTTAGTTAGTTAGTTAGTTAGTTAGTTAGTTAGTTAGTTAGTTAGTTAGTTAGTTAGTTAGTTAGTTAGTTAGTTAGTTAGTTAGTTAGTTAGTTAGTTAGTTAGTTAGTTAGTTAGTTAGTAGTTAGTAGTTAGTTAGGTTAGTTAGTTAGTTAGTTAGTTAGTTAGTTAGTTAGTTAGTTAGTTAGTTAGTTAGTTAGTTAGTTAGTTAGTTAGTTAGTTAGTTAGTTAGTCAAAGATGCATTCAAAATATTTAATAAAAACTTCATAATCACAGTTCGCCTTAAATATTTTTTTATTTATTTAAAAAGGAAAACAATTCCAGCCTCTGGCTATAACATTGGTTAAAGCCTGATGTCGAACATTAAAAACACTATTTTTATAAACATAATCTAACAAAGCAATTATTTACTCTTGTCCCAGAAATACTTTATTTAGTTCACAGCACAGGCGATGCATAGGTAAACCCATAACACAATAGAAATCACCATCAATGCGCGATATTAAAGCACCACCAGGGCCATTAATACCATAGGCGCCAGCCTTGTCTCTGTAAAGGAAAAAATTATGAAAATTAAGAATTCTTAAATAAAATCAGTTCCAAACTTACAATGGATCTCCCGAATCCACATAATCTTGTATTTGTTCGGGCGTTAGATGACCAAAATAAACATAGGCAGTTTCGGTAAAGGAACGTATACCTTGAGAATGTTTTTAAAACCACACCGGTGAAAACACGATTGCATTTACCCGAGAGACTGAGAAAGATAACAACAAATATTTATTTTTTACCATTAATAACTTTTCAAAATCATACTTTGTTAACATTTTTACAGCCTCCTGAGGATTTGATGGTTTACCATAAATTTCCGAACCCATAGTAACCATAGTATCAGCCGCTATAACCAAAAGTTCTTCCGGATTATCACCATTCTTTAGGCGATTATATACCTCTTCAGCCTTACCCAAAGCGGTGGCTTCTATGAATTGGGAAAAATCTTTAAAATCGGCAGGATTAAGGTTTTCCTCAAATGTAGAGGGTATTAGTTCAGCATTGAGGCCCTGTTTAGAATATTTTCTTTAGTTTTCATAACTTTGGTAATTTGAAGACATAAACCTACCAAAGCTTTTACTAATTCCTGCCTCCGGGGAGAACCACTGGCTAAAATTATACGTTTGTTATTTAATAGGTGTTTAATGGGAGCCAGCATTTTGTAGTTTTATTAGATATTATTTTTTTTTTTTTATTAATTTTCTAGTAATTTGTCTAATTTTTATATTTTATATAAAGTTATTTTTTGTACTGTTTACATTTCATCATGTATTATTATGTTTAAACTTCATTATGAAGTTCATTACGATGAGAACAAAACAAAAAACGTGCAAAAACATCTGTCAGAGAGAGACAAATAACAGAGATGTCTTTTGTTGTCATAACTACTACGAAGGGTTGTATTTTTTGGTATTAATTAATAATAATGTGATAACATCAACTTTAATGGATATCGGTCCCAAAATAACACGTCGAAATTTTATTAAATTAAGAATATTGTCAAAAATTTCTATAAAATATAAAATTTAATGGCATTTTTCTATAAAAAAGAAAAATGTATCGGAAATTTCCTAAAAGTGTAAAAAAATTTATCGAAAATTTTCTATAAATTAGAAAATTTATCGAAAATTTTCTATATGAAAGAAAATTTATCGAAAATTTTCTATATAAAAGAAAATTTATCTAAAATTTTCGATATAAAGAAAATCGAAAATTTTCGATTTAAAGAAAATTTTCTATAAAAAGAGAATTTTCTATAACAAGAGAATTTATTGCAAATTTTCCATAAATTAGAAAATTTTTTCATATAAAAAGCAAAATTTTTTATAAAATTTTATATAAAAAGGAAATTTATTGAAAATTTTCTTTAAAAATGATATTTATTGAAAATTTCCTATAAAAATGATATTTATTGAAAATTTTCTATAAAAATGATATTTATTGAAAATTTCCTATAAAAAGGAAATTTATTGAAAATTTCCTATAAAAAGGAAATTTATTGAAAATTTCCTATAAAAATTAAATTTATTGAAAATTTCCTATAAAAATTAAATTTATTGAAAATTTCCTATAAAAATTAAATTTATTGAAAATTTCCTCTAAAAATTAGATTTATTGAAAATTTGCTATAAAAAGGAAATTTATTGAAAATTTCCTATAAAAAGGAAATTTATTAAAAATTTCCTATAAAAAGGAAATTTATTGAAAATTTCCTATAAAAAGAAAATTTATTGAAAATTTCCTATAAAAAGGAAATTTATTGAAAATTTCCTGTAAAAAGGAAATATATTGAAAATTTCCTATAAAAAGGAAATTTTTTGAAAATTTCCTATAAAAAGGAAGTTTATTGAAAATTTCCTATAAAAAGGAAGTTTATTGAAAATTTCCTATAAAAAGGAAATTTATTGAAAATTTCCTATAAAAAGGAAATTTATTGAAAAATTTCCTATAAAAAGGAAATTTATTGAAAATTTCCTATAAAAAAGGAATTTATTGAAAATTTGCTATAAAAAGGAAATTTATTGAAAATTTCCTATAAAAAGGAAATTTATTGAAAATTTCCTATAAAAAAGAAATTTATTAAAAATTTCCTATAAAAAGGAAATTTATTGAAAATTTCCTATAAAAAGAAAATTTATTGAAAATTTCCTATAAAAAGGAAATTTATTGAAAATTTCCTATAAAAAGGAAGTTTATTGAATATTTCCTATAAAAAGGAAATTTTTTGAAAATTTCCTATAAAAAGGAAATTTATTGAAAATTTTCTATAAAAAGGAAATTTATTGAAAAATTTCCTATAAAAAGTAAATTTATTGAAAATTTCCTATAAAAAGGAAATTTATTGAAAATTTGCTATAAAAAGGAAATTTATTGAAAATTTCCTATAAAAAGGAAATTTATTAAAAATTTCCTATAAAAAGGAAATTTATTGAAAATTTCCTATAAAAAGGAAATTTATTGAAAATTTCCTATAAAAAGAAAATTTATTGAAAATTTCCTATAAAAAGGAAATTTATTGAAAATTTCCTATAAAAAGGAAATATATTGAAAATTTCCTATAAAAAGGAAATTTTTTGAAAATTTCCTATAAAAAGGAAGTTTATTGAAAATTTCCTATAAAAAGGAAGTTTATTGAAAATTTCCTATAAAAAGGAAATTTATTGAAAATTTCCTATAAAAAGGAAATTTATTGAAAATTTCCTATAAAAAGGAAATTTATTGAAAATTTCCTATAAAAAGGAAATTTATTGAAAATTTCCTATGAAAAGGAACTTTATTGAAAGTTTCCTATAAAAAGGAACTTTATTGAAAATTTCCTATAAAAAGGAACTTTATTGAAAATTTCCTATAAAAAGGAACTTTATTGAAAATTTCCTATAAAAAGGAAATTTATTAAAAATTTCTTATAAAAAGGAAATTTATTGAAAATTTCCTATAAAAAGGAAGTTTATTGAAAATTTCCTATAAAAAGGAAATTTTATGAAAATTTCCTATAAAAAGGAAATTTTATGAAAATTTCCTATAAAAAGGAAATTTTATGAAAATTTCCTATAAAAAGGAAATTTTATGAAAATTTCCTATAAAAAGGAAATTTTATGAAAATTTGCTATAAAAAGGAAATTTTATGAAAATTTCCTATAAAAAGGAAATTTTATGAAAATTTCCTATAAAAAGGAAATTTTATGAAAATTTCCTATAAAAAGGAAATTTTATGAAAATTTCCTATAAAAAGGAAATTTATTGAAAATTTCCTATAAAAAGGAAATTTATTGAAAATTTCCTATAAAAAGGAAATTTATTGAAAATTTCCTATAAAAAGGAAATTTATTGAAAATTTCCTATAAGAGGGAAATTTAATGAAAATTTCCAATAAAAAAAAATTATTGAAAATTTCCTATAAAAAGGAAATTTATTGAAAATTTCCTATAAAAAGGAAATTTATTGAAAATTTCCTATAAAAAGGAAATTTATTGAAAATTTCTTATAAAAAGCAAATTTATTGAAAATTTCCTATAAAAAGCAAATTTATTGAAAATTTCCTATAAAAAGGAAATTTATTGAAAATTTCCTATAAAAAGGAAATTTATTGAAAATTTCCTATAAAAATGAAATTTATTAAAAATTTCCTATAAAAATGAAATTTATTGAAAATTTCCTATCAAAAGGAAATTTAATAAAAATTTCCTATCAAAAGGAAATTTAATAAAAATTTCCTATAAGAAGGAAATTTATTGAAAATTTCCTATAAAAAGGAAATTTATTGAAAATTTCCTATAAAAAGGAAATTTATTAAAAATTTCCTATAAAAAGAAAATTTATAGAAATTTTCCTGTAAAAAGGAAATTTATTAAAAATTTCCTGTAAAAAGGAAATTTATTAAAAATTTCCTGTAAAAGGAAATTTATTGAAAATTTCCTAAAAAAGGATTTTTTTTTAAAATTTCCTATAGAAAGGAAATTTATTTAAAATTTCCTATAAAAAGGAGATTTATTTAAAATTTTCTGTAAAAAGGGAATTAATTGAAAATTTCCTTTAAAAAAGAAATTAATCGATAGTTTTTAAATAAAAAAAGTTATCTAATATTTCCTGTTAATTTTGAACATTTTTCTTTAATTATCGAAAATTTTTTACAAATCAGAAAATGTATTAAAAAATTTCTATGATTCTCGAATTTTTAAAAAATTTCTCTGATTCTCGAATTTTTAAAAAATTTTAAAAAATTTTCTATATATTTCCGTAAATACAACATATACTAATAAGTTTACGGTACTTTTTTTTAGCAAAACTTCAATTGTTATGCTACACCCTGTTATTTACCATTGTTGAATTTCATCACTTAACGTCATTAGAAAGAGACGACCATAGTGTTTTTACTTTTCACTATTTCTCTTTTAACCACACATTCGCTCAATAAAAAAAATTATTTGTCAAAGTTTTTTTTTTAGTACTTTTGAGTAATTCACAACGAGTGGTTTGCGTGTAATAAAATTTGAACGTCACACAGTGTATACTTGGCGAAAAAAAAGTAAATCTTTTTCTTAATCAAATATAAATTCCAATTATTACAACAAATAGTGAGAATTGTTTATTGGAAAGCGAAATCAGAAAAATAACCAATCAAATCTTAAATTAAAACAAATACAAAAAGTGTTAGTAACGTCATATTTGTCCATTAAACAAGTGCGAAAAAATCCTCTACTTTGGCCAGAAAAGTGAGGTTATAATTAACAAATAAAAAAAAAAAGAAATACCAAAAAAGGAAAATCGAAAAATACAAGGAAGTGTGTGTTTGAAAAAGGAAAACAGCAGAAATTTTAGACTGCCTTATGAAATTCAAGGGAAATTCCTTAAAACCTCAGCAAAGAAAGAAATTTTCTAAAGTAGTTCTATTAAGTGTTTGTGACAGTGTATTGTAAACACTTTGTGTCCCAAAAATTAATTGTTAAACAATTTTATAATACAAGAAATAAAGAATTTTCTATTTAAATAAATAAATTGTGAAATTTGTTGCCTGGTTCGTACGTTTTTTTTTCGACATTTTTGGTTTGAAAAATATTTTCACAACGCCCAACTTGTTTTAGTTAGTCTCAAATGTGTATGGCTATTGTGGTAAGTTTTTTCTTGTTGTTTTTGCATATTTTTTGTTATTTCTCTTTTGTTTTAATTTTAATAAATTTAGCTATTTTTTGCTTTAAACTTTTTGTTGCAATTTCTTTTTTTTTTTTTTGTATTTCTTTAATTTTGTAGAATTTTCCATAAATAAACTATGCAAAATCTCAAAAGGAATTTCATTGTATTTTGTTGTTGTTGTTATTTTTTTTTTGTAGTTGTCTTCTTTATTTCTTTTGTTTTCTTTTGACTTTTTGATATTTTGCATTTCTATTTTCTTTTGATGTGTTCCTTGTTTGATTTTGTTTTTATTTTACTAAACAGTGATGCCAAATGTTTGATTTTCTCTGCAGCAGTAATGAAATGAAAATTTTTATAAATTGTATTTGTTTTTAATAAAATTATTGATAAATTCTTTATTTATAAGTAATTTTAAATTAGATTCTATGAAAATATTGTAAACAAATAGGAAACTATCGGTATGTTGTCGAGAAAATGGAGATTCAAAGAATAATATTTATAAATTCTTAATTTATCGAACATTTTTGATACGTTTCGATTTATAAACTTGACTTTACACAATTCTATGGTTTCGACTGTTCTGTAGTCGTAACTATAGACTGTTCTATAGTTGTAACTATAGACTGTTCTATAGTCTCGACTATGGACTGTTCTATAGTCTCGACTATAGACTGTTCTATATACTACAGACTATTCTTTAGTTTCGACTATAGACTGTTCTATA